TTTCCATACTCAAAATACATAATAGCTTTATATTTCTAAAGATCTATATTCTTCACTGCTTACACACACATGGACACTCTGTCAAAACACCCCATTGGGAAGGTAGGCTAAATAGTATCTTCATTTTACACACTGGGAAACTGCAACAAAGGTGATAAATACATGACGGAGCTAGGACTGCAAGAGGTTGAGAGACCTGCGATTTTTCTATACATTACATACCTGTGCACTCCTCTTGCCATATCTGCTTGCCCCATTGTCTGCCCCTCTTTATTGGAATATTGACTAACAGAAAGCAGTCTAGTCTGTTCACCTGAACAGCTCTAGTAGTTCCGCAGATACAGATTAGTGTAGGATAGTAAGAAAGAGGGTTATCTAGAGCCCAGGATGGACTCAGATCCAAGTCTTGTCACTTAAGGTGCCTGCCATACGGTAAAGTGATAACTACCATGTTTCCCCAAAAGTAAGATATCCCCCCAAAATAAGACCTACTTACAGTTTTGCCTCTTGCTGAAATATAAAGCATCCCCTCGAAAATAAGGCCTCCCCAAAAATAAGACACCCCCCCAAGCTACCGTAACTCTGGACTCTGGACCATAGTGGCGGGTACCACCACGCAGCTCACTGTTGGCCGCAGCGCAGCCGAAGCAGACAGGAAGTGCGAGGTCTCTTTTAATAGAACAGTAAACAATAAATGTGTACCATATTCTTCTTCGTGGAAAAATAAGACATCCCCTGAAAATAAGACCTAGTGCATCTTTGGGAGCAAAAAATAATATAAGACACTGTCTTATTTTGGGGGAAACAGTATTAATAACTGGCACTTGGAATAAACAAAGTAGGAATCTAGGAAAATTGGACATGATCAAAAAAGATTGATCGCCTAGGCATTAGCTCAAATGCTAATTTGAGTCAGATAATCATGATTTTCTATGCTGGAAATGACAGTCAAGAGAAACGGTGTGGCATTCGTGTCAAAAAGAAATTTCAAGATCTATATTGAAGTACAATCCTGTTGAGATGGAATAATGTCTATCTGAATACAAGGAAATTCTGTCAATAGAACCATTCACATTCCTATACCAACCACTGAAGCTAGTGATAAATTGAAGAATTCTACCACTGTCTTCAGTCAGAAATTGATCAAACATGCAATGAAGATGCATTGATAAGTATTGGTGATTGGAATGCAAAAGTTAGAAACAGAGGAAGGAACAGTAGTTGGAAAATATAGCCTTGGCCATAGAAATGAAACGAGATTATGTGATATAGTTTTGCAAGACCAATGACTTGTTCACAGCAAATACCTTTTTTCAAGAACATAAATAGCAACTATACACATGGGATTTGACAGATGGCATGCACAGAAATTAAATTGATTACCATGGGAAAAGACAAAGGAAAAGCTCAATATCAGCAGGCAAAATGAGACCCAGGGCTGACCATCGATTGAACAGGCCATCAATTGCTCATATGCAAGTTCAGATTGAAGCTGAAGAAAATTGAAACAAGTCCACAAAAGCCAAAATACAGCACTGAGTCTCTCCCCCCAGCATGTCTAGAACGTCTCAGGAGAGGATTCCACTCATTGAACACTAGTGGCAGAAGACCCAGTGAGCTGAGCAATGAGCAAGAACACGCATGAAGAAAGCAAAGGGTCATTAAGAAGACGGGAAAGAAAGGCAAGATCAAAGTGGATGTTGGAAGAGACTCTGAAGCTTGCTCTTGACTGTAGAATAGCTAAAGCAAATGGAAAGCTAAGACAAATCAGAAGAAAGGACTGGTGATCTACTTTTGCAAATCATGTGGATCGTAACCAGGTAATGCTATAGGGCAAGCACCGGGCAGCTAAGCACAAGGTGGGTAGTTTAAACCTGTTATCCATTCCTAGGGGAAAAGATGAAGACTATTATCCATTCTGGTTAAGATTTACAGTCATGGGAACTCTATAGAGCAGCAGTACTCAACCTGTGGGTTGTGATCCCTTTGGGGTTGAACGGCCCTTTCACACGGGTTGCCCAATTCATAGCAGTAGTAAAATTAAAGTTATGAAGTAGCAATAAAAATAATTTTCTGGTTCGGGGGTCACCACCACATGAGGAACTGTATTAAAGGCTCGCAGCATTAGGAAGGTTGAGAACCACTGCCATAGACGGTCTCTCCGAGTTGTCATCAGCCGGATGACCATGGACGTTTGTGTTTGTCCGTGTCATAGCCTAATCTGTCCGATGTACCACTGGAGATGTGCTGCAAGCATACCGAGGACTGTGAGGACGGTGCTTCACCAGTCAGCGTCTGCTCTGTTGTCCCTGTGGTCACATGAGGTGGAGCTGACCCGTTGGCAGCTAAGGACAGCAGCAACATCGTTAACTGACATCATGTTATGCCACGAACTTCGCCTTCACCGATTCCAATGGCTGTCCTCTGCTCAAGGGGAGACTTTCCCCATTCCATACAACATGCACTGCTGAGCTAGAGATGGCTGCTTAGTCGTCATCTTCTTCCCTCCTGCCTAAAGACCTCCCATGTCACTTGACATGCGAGTCGTCACATTACACTACTTGTTTCACTCGCCTTGCTGGACTCTCCCTCCCTTGTCAGTCATAGAAAGGTTGCCTTCCCCCACTGTTCTTGTCATCAATCTTGGTGATGCCAGTGTTTGCTCAAATGAGCCACACAGCACCCCAGACTCTCAGTTCCATGACCTTAGTTTTCAGTGATCCCGGCCTCACACCATTTCGTTTACCCACACCCCTTCTTCCATGCCAGTGGTTCTCAGCAGGGACACTTGGTATTCTGAGTTGGGTAATCCTTTCTTCGCTCAGCTTTTGTACACAGGGTATTCCCCGTGGCAGGCACACTCCTGTCCGATGTGAAGGCCTCCCTCTCCTCCTTGAGATTTCGACCTCAGTTGTTGATCATCTATAACTATTTCCTATTTTTCCAATTGACTATCAGTATTACCCCCACTCCAAAAAGTATTTGATGGCACCAAGATGGTGACCCCAACGACTCGCATTTTTTCACCGCCCCTGCTCCTCCCTCCACCACTTTCTGCCCCACTCTTTCAGGGTCAGGCCTTGATTCTTCCACGGGTCAGCATTTCACTGGTTCCCTTCCTCTCCTCTCCTGGCAAAAGGCCAGACTGGTTCATAGCTTATGTCTTCCAACAGTACCAAAAACAAATTCATGTCATGAGAATAGTTTCTGACTCTTCTCACTTTAAATTTATGATAGTGAAATCCGAGTGTTCCTCAGTGTTCGTGCAATCTTACTGTATTTCCCAAGTCACTTTGCCTGAGACCATGAGTTTCCTACCTTTTCTTGCTCCCAACATTCTCACACTCAGCCATCGATCATACTTCCTACATATTCTGTGGAGAAAATGAGAAGAGAATTTCTACAAGCTCCAACTAACAAAGCTACTAACTGACATCTTAATCCACGAACTGCTCTCTTCTGTTCCAGTGTTTGGCTGTTCCTTCCTGCTGCTGGTGTTCGATGCCGTCCAGCCAGCTCAGGCCTAGTGACCCCCGTGTTCAGCACAAGAGAACAAGCACCAACCAGTTCTGTGCTGGCCTCAGAGCCATCCCTGTGTTTCAGCCACAATGCCAGTCACCTAGCTGAAAGTCTTCCTCGTATGCACCCTCTATTTTCCCAAGCTTGATGCCCTATTCTGGGAACTGGCCCTTTCCAACACCAGGTCCAAAGCACACAAGGTGAAGTGCTACTGTCCCCTTTTCTAAGGAACATTCTGGCCCTATTTCCTCCCAGACAGATTGGTTCCTTCTTTTGGAAGTCCGGTATTATTGGTGATTTCAATATTATTCATCAGCACCAGAATTCAAAGATAGCAGTCCTTCTGTCTTCCTTATTCATGGTTGAATTGTGGCAGCCATTCTGAGGTGACTGGAGATCCTGTGGCTGGGGTGCCACAGGATGTGCTGCTTCAGGTTTTAATGAGGTCTTTTATAGCAGATGTCCCACAGCAACTGGTCATTTGATTTCTGACTGCTGCTTCCATGAGTGCTGCTGGTGGGTTCAAGTACCCCGGCCCTGGTCATTTCAGTCCTTCCTCTGTGTATCAGGATTGTTGGACCAATTGTGAGGCTGCCCTGCTTGCTGGAGTTTCTGTGCAGGCCTCGTGGGCCAAATAGGAACTCTGTCTCGCTCGTTGTGAGTAGTAGCCACGCTCCCGAGCCTCGGTTGTGTTACCTGTAAAGTAGGGTTAACAGAGCAGAGTGGTTGCTGATTAGGTCAATACAAACTCTACGTGTAAGGCCCCTAGAGGAAGTGTGTCTGGCACACCCTGAGGCCGCAGCAGGGAACAGCTGTCATTGCAGGCACGTTTCAGGTGTTAGGGAAGTGCTCCTTGAATAAAAGAACACTTTTGAACACCCTACTTAGGCCCTAGCGCAGTACTTCTGGAATAAATATATATTTTCACACTACACACAGTGTTCTAATAAAGGTTTTGAATCACCAAAAACGGCTTATCTTCCACAAATTTCACTCACCCAAGGCCATTAATCCCCTCAACATAGCAGCCACCGCACGATCAGTGCTCGGTCTGTCTGAGCAGATGTTCAGGCTGTGCTTCTGCTCTGGTGCAGTGCACGTGCACGTTCAGCTAACACCCCGCCCCCTCCGCTTCCAGTATGCGCAGATCTTAAAGGAGAGACTTCGAGACTCGATTCAAGATGTGCAGTACGTAGAGCCTCCCTTCGACGACTCGATCGTCGACATAGGCAAGGAGTGGAAGAGTGCCCTGGCGAAGCTCAAGTTCGCCAACTCGTACAGAATGGAGCCGCTGAAGAAGTTCCAGGCCCACACCGTGGAGGTGAAAGTCCAGCAGATATTAACGGTAAGTCGGCAGACGGGTCCTAAACCCTGACAACCATCTCCTGGCGGTGGCTCGAGCACCCCGTTAGAATTTCGGGCTGTGTAATTTGCCCCAGTTGTCCTTGGTAGCATTTCTCTTTCCACCTTAAACAAACCTAGACCTTGTCCAGGAATCTCCACATTGAGGCTCTGAGCTAGGTGAAATGGGTATCCACTCAACTCTTAATTATGAGTAATTTTCTCTATGGTTCCAAGTTTCTCCCATGTTTGCGGTTTAACAAACAAATAAACACGAATAAGTGCAGTTTAACAAACAAATGTGTGGAAAATCTGGTCCTGGCTAAATTAAAAAAACCATAAATCAGGCAGTTTAAACTGACTAGAATCTGAAGTTCATTTAAAACAGTTGTTTGAAACTCAGACATGTTTCTCAAAACCATCACTTTTGCAAAACTGGTTCTGCAATAGCAATTCCAATAGTATTTGCACTAGTGTTGGTCTCCTCGGGCTCTTGTGCAGGTGGAAAGAGTCCTGTCACCACTCTTCCTAATACAGGGCCAAATTAAGTTCTGAAGGATCTCACGAAACTTATGGGGAACCTGCTTCTCTGAACCCCTTTGCCCATATGGTCCCTAGCTCTACACACTCCCAGAAGTTTCCAGGTCACCCAGTTTCCTTGGGGGAGTTCCACCAGGCTAATTCCACGCTCACTCCATGTCGTTGAGTGGATGCTGATTCATAGAGACTCTGCTGGACAGGGTAGAACCACCCCTGTGGGTTTCCAAGACTACAGAACTCTTTACAGGAGTGGAAAGCCTGTCTTTCTCCCAAGGAGCTGCTGGTAGTTTCAAACTGCAAACCTTGCGCTTAGCAGTTCAATGTGTAACCACTACAGCACCAGGGGAGATTCACTGTTTTAACATCGCCTCCCACCCAAGGTACCTGACATCACCTCATTGGCATGTGACTGCTGGGCACTGAATGAAGACCTCCGAGAATGGAGGCGGCCTTGGCAGAGAGTTCGAAATGAGCTGGGCACACCTTGGCAGGTGCCCTTCCACTAAGCGATCCGTATCAGGTGCACACGGTCAGGGCTTGGATTTATATATATAAAATACTTGGTTTGAAAATGAAATATCTTTCTTGAAATTCTTTAAAGGACACCCTTAAAGATGTGAAATATGATCAGAAGGTCTTCTCTCATTTGTCACTTGAATTGGCAGACCGCATATTGTCAACCGTCAAGGAATTTGGGTTCAGCCGTTACAAGTTCATTATAAAAACATTATTTATTCAAAAGACCGGCCAGGCAATAAATGTGAGTATGTCACTGAGCCAGCCTCTGTCGCCAGGCCAGTATGATACCTGCTCCTTCGCTGGTGGGTAGCGATCCGGATGATCCCCAAGAACTGCAGGGTCCAGAGACCCCTTTTGAATGAAAGGATGAAGTTAAATATATTTGATCTCATTGTAAATTGTCAGAAAAAGTCCTAGCCTAGAAACGGTAATTTTCTATTAAAATGTATGCAATTACGTGGCTGTTGTGTCTCACGATGAGAGCAGCTTTAGCAACGTGATGTCATCTATGAGTTAATTGATTAACCAATCCTTTATTTTCCACCACCTGTGAGTTTGTCAAACTGTGCTGGCTTGCCTGTGGCCGTGCTGTGGAAGCCATGCCACTGGTCTTTCTGATAAAGCAGGACTGCCTGTGGGCGGCTGCTGTCAGCAGAGCTCCCAGACCAAGACCGACTAGGAAGAAAGGTTCTGCCCACCTAATTCTGAAAATTAGCCAGTGAGGTTTTGAGGACCGTCCCCAAACAGGGCCTGATGAATGACTGGGCAGCCTTTTGTTCTGCTGGACATCGGGTCACTGGGGTCAGAGCAGACTTAAGGACAATGAGCAGCCACAACACATTTACCTTGGACACTAGTGGGTGTTAAGTTGTAAGAAAAGCAGAGAGAACTATAAGACGTGGTCTGTGCTTCTCAAAGAGTGTTCAGTCTTGCTACAGCAGTGCAGTGTTGAGTTTAAGGGAATACTGTAAAGAGGGCATGCACCGAGCCCAGGTTCTGGGGTTCTAGGTCCCGGAGCCCTAGCTTATGGCCACCTGTGTTCTTCTGGAACCCCGGGGCCAGGCGTCCTAGCGGTCAGTTCTGGAGTTCTGGGTTCTGGAACTCTGTGTTCTGGAGTCAGGTAGTCTAGGTTGTGGAACCCTAGGTTTAGGGGTCCTAGGTTCTGGAGTTCTAAGGTCAGGGGTCCTGGGTTCTGGAGCCAGGTGTCCCAGCTGTTGCTTGGCACGGTCTCCTATGGACCCAGCGGAGAGAAGGAAGCCTCCCTGGTAGAGCTGTTGTGAGTATGGCTCGTGATGGCGGTAGCAGGGGTGGCGACCTATCAGCTTCCAGTAGACAAAAGTGGGTGTCTGTGCATCCTGTCAGGACAGGGATCCAGATGTCAGAGTGGAAGCTGTTTAGTGTTTTGCTGCCACATCAAGTCACAGGCCAATTAATATGTACAGGGTGGGAAAACAGGACTCAGGCTGTTCTACACCAGTCCACTGTATGACTAGTGTCTTCGCTTCAAGGTAAGCTTCTAACGAGCTGTCAGTTGAGGTGTTTTAGGAGGGCAGAAGATGAATTCCTTGTCATGAAGCCTAACAGTGGTGTCGTAGCATGTGGATCCCGTGCCACCTCTTTGGTACAGATTAGAACCATTCTGTTGGGTTTTGAAGGCTGTGAGCTTTCACAAATTGACCACCAAGCTTTTCCTCTGAGACCGTCCCGGGGTGGGTTTGAACTGCCAACCTTTTGGTTAGTAGCTGGGCTTTACCGTTTGTGTCACCCAGGGGTCCTCACGCAGACCTGCCCTTCAGCCTGGCTGCTGGACCTCCTCTGCAGACACCGTGGGAGCCTAGGGACTGGGGAAGCTCCCTGTCAGCCACAGAAGGGGAAGTGGGACACCAGACCCCTTCTAACTATCTCTTTCCTAACATGCTTTTAAAAACAAACCAGAACCCGCAGATGTTTTTATAAAAGGCTCAGTGTAAAGTTGACTTTTTACAATTTCTCATACAGGTTGTCAGCAGAGGCATCTGGGACGTTGCTTGGGACAGCTGGGTTGCAGCCAAACATGAAGCCGAGAGTTACGTTGCGTTGGCCTTGGTATTTGCTCTTTATTGTGAATAGCCTGCCACCAACTTCCAGACTTCCCAAGAATATATGAGTCTAAACCTCCTGGTTGTCTTTATTATCTGCATCTTTGTCTCCAAGAGGAGCTTCTTAGATGGTCTTTTCTTTAACAACAAAAAGCATGGACTGTTCTAGATTCTCCACACGACACTGTCTGCTGCTTTCGGAGGGTCCCAGGGTTGTTGCGAACACCACTCTCGCACCCTCCACTGTGCTCTCTGAATCCCTGTAAGGACACCACCCCACCAAAGACACCACCACCCCTCCCCCCTTTCCCTTTCCCCAGCAAGGAAGCATTCACCCCATCATAGAACTCCTCCCACCCGGCCAGGCAAGCACTTCACTGGGAGCCTAGCAAAGGGTGCAGCACCCTGAAGCCACATGGCCACCAGGTGACCATCCAGGGCTATGACTTCTGGACTGATTGCCACAGTCCTTTAAGGAACCCCGAGGATCAGTCACAAGAAATGCCACCTAAGCATTTATTTCAGTCACATCAGAAAAAGCCAAACGCTCTCTCCTCTGACCTTTGCTTCTTGGGGGGTTTATAGTGGCTTCTGGAATCCAACCCCCTCCTCCAGGTGTTTAAGGTTATTTCCTTAAAAAACAAACAGACTCCACATAATTCTTGGTCCACTTTATTCACAATAAAAACATTTTTTAAGGAGGGGGGATTTGTCAAGAGACAGTAGCTTCACATTTTGATATGTTTGCTTAATAAAGGTTTCTATGATTCCATCACCGCCAAGGAAGGCTAATGGAGCAGTTCTACTCTGAGTACACATGGGGGCGCCGTGAGCCAGTGGCACCTCAACAGCCACTGATTTTTCTAGTTTACATTTACTGGGAGTCCCTGGGCTGGGGAATCCCTAGGTTGATAACCCATAGGCACCTGGGAAGAAAGGCTGGATGCTGGAGTTGAGAAAACCCAGCCACTGAAAGCCCCATGGGTAAGGTGACCAGATGTCCCGCTTTTGGCGGGACAGTCCCGATTTTTAACATTTTTTTCCTCCCCGCATCCCACGGCGTTTTAAAGAAGTCCCGATTTTTCGAAAGAATGCACGACAAGCTAGGGTATACGGGTTTCGCGAGGATAAGTTTTATCAATGGTGTCCCACTTTACCAATGTTAAAATCTGGTCACCTTACCTATGGGGCACATTTAGGAGGCCTAGTGTCTTAGTGGTTACCCACGGGGCTGGCAGTTCAGTCCACTAGCCACTACTCTGCGGGAGAAAAAGAGGCGTTTCTGCTCCTGCAGTCACACCTCGGAAACCCACGGGGCAGCTCTCCTGTCCTGTCAGATTGTTATGAGCCAGAATTGGCTCAATGGCAGCGAGTTAGGTTTTTTAAGGAACTCATTTATACTCAAGACACACATGGGTCTCCACTATGCATCAACAATTAGTTGTTTTGTTAGTGAACAATGACTCATTCAGAATTCCCTCCCTTAATGCTCCACCATGTCTTGAACATCAGAAGGCTGAGCCACGATTTGCTGGCTTGGAATGAAATGTTTGAGGTCTGTGTTTGGCTTAGAGACAGGATATCCAGAGGAGTAGAACCAAATAACTAAATGTAGTTTAACATTAAATGATTTGCAAAGAATGAGTTTCCTGATCAGTGAAGAGAAACTGGGGGAGAATGGTCTGGTGTCAATTCTCCTGGGCGCATTCGCACAAAAGGTCGGGCTGACCATGCACCTGAACCACACGTTTCACAGGGGTCCTCAAACTTTTTAAACAGGGGGCCAGTTCACTGTCCCTCAGACCTGCTGGAGGGCCGGGCTATAGTTTTTTTTAAAACTATGAACAAATTCCTTTGCACACTGTACACCTAATTTTGAAATAAAAAAGCAAATGGGGCAAAAACACCCAGCGGGCTGGATAAATGTCCTTGGTGGGCATGTGGCCCCGGGCCGTAGTTTGAGGACGCCTGCTACAGGATGTGTTAGGCAGCTAGAGGCAGAACTAAGCGTTGTCACTACATGCCAAAGCCTCCCTCCCCATTCAGGAAGTTGAAAGCTGCTTAAGGCTGGAAGGCGTGCACACATTCAGGTCTTTGAGCCAGGAAGCAGGTACACCTGGGTGGGACCCCATCCAGGCCAGGTGGGCTTAATTCAGCTACGGGGGTTAACCAGTATCGACGCCCATGCCTCCCAACTGGTCCCTGAGAAGCCATTCGTTTGCTCTGGCGCTCCCCCCCACAGTGCAGCCGCTTCTATCCTTTCTAAACTCACTTGGCTCACAACCAGGCTTCGGTGAGATTTTTCTCAAGCGAAGCCAAGGACTGAGGTATTTCTCCCACGAGGGAGACTTAACAGACGCAGCAACGTCCATGCTCGGCTTCTTGCTGGGGCTCGAGGCCCACTTCCCTTCAGTGGTCTCCCTCAGGTGGAGAGGGAAAGCAACGTCTGAATTAGGGGCGTGAGAGCCAGCCGCAAGTTCGGAGAAAGCCGGAAAGCTGGGCTGGCAGGGTAAAGGAAGGCTGTTTAGATCAACTGGATAGACAAAAGTAATTCCTTTCGTTTAAGCTTTCAAAACGTTGCCCCTGCTGAGTGTAGGCAAAAATCATGAATGAAAGGGAAGTGATAAAGTACTCTCCAATCCAAGAACATTAACAATTGCCTGGAGACACCGTCTTCTCCACGCAAGACAGCGGAGGGCCTGCCAAGAGGGCAGATTCAGCACGTTGCTGGCACGCGTCACCACCGTACCACAGGTGTCTCCCACGTTAGGGTCCCGCGCCCGCCCTTCTGCCGTTTTTTGGCAACGTGGAATCACGAGGTTTGGGAAGGAGGACCGCTCTTCTGTTTATATGAAACGGCTGAGGTTCTTGGGTGCCTCGCTGGTTCCCGCGCTT